GGGAAGAAGCGGAGAGGAGGCGATCAGGCAATCAGAGCAGGAGGGACGAACTCTTCAATTGTTTGATTGATTGATTTTCCTTGATCATATCGATAAAGATAGTCTCATTTTCCTCTGACTTGATTGTATCGATAACTCCTAGCCGCTCTCTTCCTCACTTCCCTAGTGCCCAGGCTCCCTTGATCATGCAGGTGAGATCACACGCTGTCCATACTTACCACCTCTGCCTGCTCCTTCTCCTCCCCTTCCTCCTATCCCTCCTCCTCTAGCGCCCCGCCGCCCTCGACTCGGCTGATCCGAAAGTCCTGAAGTTGCCGCTGTCAGCTGCAAATACTCTACCAGCAAGGATCGCGTCGTAGCCTCCTTGACAGAAGTGAACGGGCCTCAAGTAGATTCTATCAGCAGGAAGCCTTTCCATCCCTCCCTTGGCATCCAAGGTGGTGACTGGACATCCATTGCTTGTCGTCAGCTCTTGTGATCTCCGACACGTCAGGTCAGCTCCTACCTCACGTTCTGGAGGACAAGGCTGACTCGGCGCTCGTAGAGATGCCCCTCACACTCACTTTCTCAACGAGCTGCTTCTACCCGATGACTCCGAGGCTCCGCATGCGTCGTCACGGCGTCACAGCCAGTAGATGCTCAACAGCTCCTCATACTCCAAGGCTCAGTCTAGATCAGCACCCTTAGGCTCCGGGTCCGGCGTCACTCAGGGGCCGGGGCCGCCCCGGAGGCCCGCCCGGGCCGCGGCGGCGGGCACGGGTGTCCGATCGGGGGGCCCGGTACATCAAGTTCAATGAATACGAGTCAATCAGTCACTCGGAAGAGCGGCCCTTGCCATAGCCTCACCTTACAGTTACTTTTAGCCGCTCATGATGAGCCCGGGCCTTTGGTCATCAGGCTGCGCTGCTTTGCACTGATCCGAGTCCCCGGGCCCCACTGTACCGTGCCGCAGTGCGGCATGGTCATCACTCAGCACGGTGACTAGTAGTGTGACCGAGGCCCCGGGCGAGCCGCCGCGGCTAGTGGCCGCGGCTAGTTTGAGCCCGGGGAGCCTTGCCACGGTAGGCCCTGAGGTGCAGGGGAATCATCTCAGTCTGATAACCTGAGTACATGTCGAGCCTGTGCGCAGAAAGAAATCGAAAACAACAAACATGTCATGCTTGGCTTTTGCAGTGACTCTGAAGTCACCGTCCGATGGTACGGTACGGTCAGTCACGCGGCCAAGCCTGGAAACCCTGCTGTAACTCCGACCGTTACTGAGGCGCCACACTACAGTAACGGCGGTAACGACAAGACGTTACAAAGTTGACCGACTAGATGAAGGCATCGGATGTACCAGCAGAGTAGAGCAGGGACCCCACCCCCTCCCTTACCTGCCAGCCTCACCGGTAGCTATTAGCCTCCTCCAGGTAGGGTGGGTACTACCAGTAAACCTCTCGGGCCACTGCTACAAACGCTACCGAATGGGTCTACGGTAGGGTAGGGGGTCCGATGAGAGCCAAAGTTGCCTGGGTGGGGTGGGGGGTTGTTTGTTCATTATCGTCGCGAAATGTACAGGGCAACATTCGGCCACCCCCCCTACCACCCTGTTCTACCCACCCCGACCTGTGGAGCCTAGAGCCATCTATTGTACCCCGTAAGTCACCCCCCTGATTCCCCAGTCAGTACCCCCACCCCTCAACCCGCTGCCTTCCTTGTATTGTCCACATTTTTGTTTTGTGCAAACAACCCCTACCCCCCCTAGTCTCCACTGGATGACCACCCCTGGTCATCACCGGCTTCGCCTTCTGCAGTACCCCCCTTCCCTCGGATAGCCCCAATCATGCAAGAACCCCCCCACCCCCCACCATCCTTATTCCATTCGGAACAGGGAAAAGCACCCCGGTATTGTTCTCACATTCGAACCACCCCACCCACATGCATTGTTGACTGTTAACTTATGGAAGAAACCACCCCTGCCTTCCCTAACTGACAGGGGGTGGGGTGATGGTCGTACGGGGGGTCGGGGGTTGGGTTCGGAATAGGCTTGATTGAGGAGGTCCCACGGTAGTACCGTCCGATCCTCCTCCTCCTCCTCCTCCTCCTCCTCTTCCTGCTTTTCAGTGCCTGCTGCTCATTCTCCTGACATGCTCCTGCTCATCCTACATCAGCTTTTGCCCTCGTGTCCCTGCCTCTGATCTGCTGCCTGTCTTCACTTCTTTCTCCCTCTTTCGCTCACCTTGTCCTTGTGCTTGGCACAAATTACACATTGTCCAGCACAGCGAGGTGCTGAAGAGGATTCAAGAATAGTTTTCGAGGGTAGTTTATATGATGTAGTTATCAAGCAGACAATGCGGCGAGTGATGCGGGAGTAACGCTGTGGTGCTGCAGGAGAGAAAGTAAATCGGACAGACAATGTCGCAGACAGACTTGATGGAGAACTTCTGGTGGTGCGTCGACTGCGATCTCATGACCTCCTGCATGGAGAGCCGGCCGAGGAACAGAACTTACTTCGCAAGGAAGGCCTTCACTCCCAAGAGCCCCACTTCTGAGCCTGCAGGGCGGCAGGACGACAATGTGCGAAGCCGAAGGCTGAGTTTGACCAAGAAGAGCAGCCTGGACTACGAGCGAACGTTGCCCAGCTCTCTCAAAGAGTGAGTGAGAACTCGAGGGGAGAAGAGGAGGCTGACGATGCCGGCAGGCTGGTGCAGCTGGAGAAGGACAAGGCAGAGGAGTACGAGGCTCTCAAGCTTCAGTTCAACACCATGTCTAAGGACGGACAATGCTCGAGCGAGGAGGTCAGGATGTTCCAGGACCACCTGAGCACGGCGAGGATGCAAAGGTACAGGATCTCGAGGAGGATTGCTAAGGTGCTCAAGGAGGTGGAGGACCCGCTGGGGTCAAACCCTTACTTCGCCATGTACACCCGTTACTACCATGCCTGGCGTTCCGCTCATGACCGTCACGGCAATACAGTCCAGTCCAAGGAGAACATCGCACAACTGGAAGACACAATGAAGCGGCTCAAGACTCTCAACCCGCCGGAGTTCGCACGGCTGGAGCAGCAGCTGGATTTGGAGTATATGCAAGCACAAGCACTGCAGGCGGAAGAAGTAGAATCAGGGGACGAGAATGACATCTGAGGAAGACAGAGGCACAGATCTCGCCGCAGTATCCTTATTGTCATTGTGATAGACAGCAGCACATCCTTTGCTTGCTTTCCCCCTGCTCAGCTCCAGCTGAGCTGTCTCTTGAGAGTGTGAGTGAAGTAGTTTTGTCGCAAGATGACACACTAGTAGCTCATGGAATGTCAAAATCTTCATGCACAAAGAGACGCCCACGTCATTATGGTCGTAGGCTCCATCAGTTTCCTTCGCCCGACGCCCGTGAGATCGTATATCTTACATGCTCATCTGCTAAAGGCGTCAGACTGCACGCATCTTCCCTGCTTGGCCCACTTCTCCCTACCCACCCCAACAAACGCACAAACTTAGGTCGCCACCTCCTCATACTCACCATGGGGTTTGCGAACACGGACGCACGGAATCCAGCGTTGCTCTCGCGGGCCTTGAAGAAAGAGTCCTGGTTTCCTGTGGCATCCTGCCATCGAGGAATCAGCGAGAGGAGAAGAGGACCCGACGAGCGCGACGACAAACGAGAGAAGAGAGAGGAAGGCCAAAAAAAAACCAAGGAGGAAGTGGGGTAGGTGGTGAAGGAGGAGAGGGTGGTGGTGGAGGTGGTGCTGGGGCTTCGCGACAAAGAAGGCAGAAGGGAAGTCGAGGACAACCATATGGATTGGACGCCCGAGAGCAGCAACGATGTTGCCAGGAGCCGAAGCCATTCCCATCAACTTAGCGCCGAACATGTCCTGTTCCACGATAGTCAGCGCCCCCGGACAAGTAGATTCTTGAGCCAAAAGACGAAGCTAGCAGTCGGCAACGCGAGGCAGCTGCTGGGTCAGATGCTACGTTGAAATGTTTCTATCTCAATGCTTCTCTGCGAGTTCTTTCTTCGGCTCATTGTAAGGACAGCTGGCACATATTTCTTGCTAGTACACCATCAGTACCATACATGACTATTACACCATCCCTGCCAAACACTCCTGTACTCCACCCTACGTCGGATGTACCAACACTCACAACAGTCAGCATTCTGCGACCCCCAACAAGACCAACAGGTTCGGCTTCCACTCTCTGACTCACATGCAACAGCTATCATCATGTCTCACTGCCTAGTGCTACTTGTGCTGCTCCATGACTGAACAGAACAAATCACTGCTCGTTTTCGTTCCTTCCACTGCACAGACACTCCATTCCCTGGTTATCATGCCTCCATTTCAATTGTACCGTATCTTCCCCTACTTCGTACCCTCCCTTCTCAACCTCCTAATTTCCCACATCTACCACCACTGAAAGCCTGCTCCCTCCCTGCTCCCTCCCTGCTCCCAGCTCCCTGCTCCCTCCCTCACCCCCTCCCCTCTCCCTCTCCTCTCTCCTCCCTCCTCCCTCCTCTCTCCCCCCTCCTCCTTCCTCCCATCGAAGGGCCGCCCAGCCAGCATATCCTGACTCTTCGAAGATGTGCAGGGGTGAGCGGGGAAGAGGGCAACTTGAGCAGGAGGTGGGTATGAGGGGGGATGAGGTATTCTTTTTGACCAGCAGCATTTATGAGCGGGGATGAGGGTACACTCCATGTAGGGGTGGTACTAAACATGGGCCAACCAGGGGTGGTCATGAGGTGGGTAGAAGTGCTGGACGGTAACATGGTGGGTAAGGGCGTATGGAGACGGGAGAAACTAGGGGTGTAAACTGTATGAGTACGGGTGTATTCATGACAAAAATGAAATCAAAAGATAGGGTAGGTGTTTCATGAGGGGGTAGGTAGTACAGGAGAGGGTAAGGGTCATCAAAGGGTTTATCTTTTAAAAAAAATGTTTTTTTTAAAAAATCTAGTCCGCGTCAGACCACCCCTACCCCCCAATTTTAGCACCCTATACCCTACCTTGGCAGAGACACATACAGACCTGTTACGAAGATTACCCACCCCCTGTTTTACCTGAAACTACCCACCCATTCACCACAACCTCAAGTATCTCCCCCCCGAGGTCTCCTGGATTTCCTTTCAACAAAACCAGTATCACCCACCCACCCTCTTGACTCATGACCCCCCATTTTGTGAATTTTTGAAATTTACCCCCCTTGTTTCCCAATCCTCTCGGAAGAATACCCCTGTGTTTTTCGTCTGTACCCACAAACTTCCAATACGTACCCACCCTTTGTCCATCATTTCTGTCACCCCGAGATCCCTTACCCCACCATGTTTATACTACCCCAGATTGTAGGAAAAGGGATAACCCCTACCCCCTAATAAAGTTGTGAGGACCTTCTCTACCCCTAAGTTCCCCATACCACCCCACCTACTAGTTGATAAGTTTTCCATACCCCCTTTTTCCTTCCCTCCCCCTTCACGGTCCTACAACCCCACCCTTGAAATCTAGTAAAGTTATCCACCCCTACCACTCAATTATCACTACCCTACCCAGTATATCATGTTTTTACTACCCCATGTAATGACCAAATCTTACAGCACCCCACCTACCCTTTCGCATACCCACCGGTGTGTCCTAATACCCCAAACCCTCCCCCCATTCCATTTCCCTAGCAGGGGCGCTTGCGAGAAACGAAACTTGGAGGAGGAGCAGGAGCAGGAGGGGGAGGCGGAAGGGGGAGGAGGAGGAGGAGGAGGAGGAGGAGGAGGATAGATTCGTTGAAGGATAGCAAGAATGCATTTAGGAGGAAGAAAATCAGTGTAAGTTGCATTGCGCTGTGCTGTCAGGGAGGGAAAGGCGAGTATGGAAGGAAAAACAGGGATGCCATCGCCGGAGAACGTGCGATAGGGAGGAGACGACGAAGACAGAGCGGGAGGGAGCGAAGAAGGGAGGAGGCACAGTGGGGAAAGAGTTTGACGAGAGAGCCATGTATGAGTGGGAGAGTGCTGTTGTTTCTTCTCGCTTCGGTCTCGAATCCTACTTTGTTCAGTGCTGTTGTCCGTAGGAAGAGTTGCCGAGACAGCAAGGGAAACGGGGGCTGGGCAGGGTAGAGAAGCAGTCGGGGAAGACAAGGCGAGGGGAGGAGGAGCACGAGAAAGAGCAGGAGAGGACGGGGATGTCGGATCCGGATCCGACATCTTTTCGCCAGGTTTGGTTCGGTGGTTGAAGTAACGTGTGGTTGACAGTGGTTGTCTTGGCGATCTATCCTCGAACTTCACTCCTTCATACTCTCTCGATCCTCCCATGGCTTTGGATCCCGGCGTTCAGAATGCATGGAGGGGCCGCGCAAATGTGACAACGAGCTGTCAAGTTCTTATCTCCTGATTCTGCATCAGGCGCGCCTGCCCCCCGAAGTGAACAGAATCCTCTTTGTGAGGTTCGAACCTCCCCCCCCC